GGGGGGGGGGTCGTAAGATGAGAATGAAAGCGGGGAGGTGTTTTCTTTATTTGAGGGCTCGCCGTTGCACATAATTAGGAATTGAATCAAAAATTTCAATTTTTGTTGTAAATTGGTAAGTAGTGAGACGAAAGACCTTTGTTGTAATTTGGTAAGATAAGAAAATATATGAGATATTTGTTATATTAGAAAAGTTGTGATTGTGATTTAATAGTAGAGATAATGATAGACAATAAATGGCATAGTGTGTGAGATTAATGATTTGTCATTGTGGAATTTCTAATTTTGTTTTGGAAGGTTATTGAAAAAATATTCTTCTATCTGTCTTTTAGGAAGATGATCTCACACATATGATGTGGTCGTTGAATTTTTAATTAGCTAATACTTACGTGATTGAATTGAATCGACACCTGCCAAAGCAAGCACGAGAAGATGAACAAGAAGGGTCAGACGAATTTATTTGGTTTTAGTAGGAGGGAAAAAAATCAGCGCGGACGGGATGGTGGGAGGTGGGGCGAAACTAAGTCGGTGATGCGAGACTACTCACTTCCTTTAAGAATGGAGAGGTTATCAAGGTTTAAAAAAGCAGAAATGTTAACGTCCACACGTGTGGGCGTTTGCATCTCGCCCACACGCGTGGATCCGCGTCCGTTTGTGAGCGCACGAATCTTGGCATGTTTCTAGTGTCACGTAAGACTGGCCTGGTGTGTGGGCGTTCAGCCGATCGCTCACACGGCCATTTCACCACACATGAGGGACTGGTGTGTGGGCGTTCAGCAGTTCGCCCACACGCCACTTTGCACGCACACACAAGGGCTAGTATGTGGGCATTTGGCATCTTACCCACACGCCCTTCTTCTCTCCCACACCCAACCTGCTAGTTGCCATGTGTTTTTGCACTGCACATGGCATCTGCCCCTAGTGTGCTTTTATAAGCAGGTGGCAACTCTCTTTTTTATCCGAGTTTGCCATGTGTTTTGTAGGGTACGGTAACTGCCTAGTGTGCACATAAGCAGATGGCAACTCTCTTTTACCGAGTTGCCATATGTTTTTGCATGGTACATGGTAACTGCCCTAACGTGCATGTACATGGCAACTGCCCTAACGTGCACGTAAGCAGATGGCAACTCTTCTTTTTTACATGGCAACTGCCCTAGCATGCTTGTGAGCACATGGCAACTCTCTCAACTGCCTAGTGTTAGTATGTGGCAACTCCTAAAGTTATGAAATCATGGCAACTATATTAGATCAGGCCATACATGGCAACTGCAGTTGAGCAACCATGGCAACTGCAGTTGAGCAACCATGGCAACTGCAGTTGTCCGACATGGCAACCGTAGTTCAGCGACATGGCAACTGCAATTAAACGTACATGGACGAGGGTCTGGACCATGGCAACTGCGGGCGCGCGGTGACCGTCACGCGTGGCGTGCGGGACCAGGAGGTACGAGGCCTGACATACGAGCGTGTGGGCGTTATCAACTTCGCCCACACGCATGCGTGTGAGAGGGATCGGGAGGGGAAAAAAGAGGCGTGTGGGCGCTAATTGTTTTGCCCACACGTAGGTGTGTGGGCTGTTCCTTTTATACACCACACAAAATGTGTGGGCGGACTCCCTAACGTCCACATGTGTGGCACTTATCGAAAATGTTAACGCCCACACGTGTGGGTGATTGCATCTCGCCCACACGCGTGAATCTACATCCGTTCATGAGCGCACGAATTTTAGCATGTTTCTAATGCCATGTAGGACTGGCCAAAAGTTATCACGTTATGCTGGCCTAGCTGGATCCGCATTTGCATCCCTACAGGCAATGCAGCGTGTCTAAATTCGGCCCGAGAAGGTGCAGCCGGTCTCCATCCATAGCGTACAGTACAACACTTCGCTTCGCTCCCTTCCGTTTCCCACGTGCGACTTGCTTGCCAGTTGCCCCAGTCGAGTCGCGCCGCCGAGAAGAACAGGCAGGCAGGAGGAGTAGGCGAGTGGCCAACGACTCCCTCCTCCTCCACCTCCCCCCTTCGCACCACGGGCCTCCACCGAGACCAAGCACACGCCATTCCCCTCCTCTCCCCCGAGCTCCGAGAGATCCCCAGACCCTACGCGCGAGTTCCCATGGCGGCAACCCAGCTCCGCGGATCGGCGGTGCCGGGGACGGCGAGGAGGTGGCGGGCTCCCTCCGGCGCCATCCTCCGCTTCGCGCCGCTCGCCACGTCCAGGCTCCCAGCAGCGTCTCTTCGTCGGAGGGGAACCTTCAGTGGCCTTTCCGCCAGTGTCACCAGGGAGGTGGGTCCTCGCTCTTCTCCCGTGTTTGGCCCTGCCGCTGCCTGGATCTAGATTCTAGAATTTTCGGTGCTCCGATGGTCGTGATATATACTGTAAAAATTACGTAGGAGAGTGGCTGCAGGCTGCTTTTGCAGAGAGTGTCGTATGTTTTCTTGGCGGAACTAAATGGGAACTGTTCTCGTCTAAGCAATGCTTTAGGGAGTGGAAAGACATCTTGCTGGATTTTTAAAAAATGGGATGCTCGAAATTGGCACTTAAAGAAGAGCATATTTGTACATGAATATGAGTGTTCCTGGATGGATGGGCAATTATTTGTACATGAATTTCAGAAAATCAGAAATGTGAGTGTTCCTGGATGGATGGGCAAACTGGGTTTTGCTGGCATTCTTTATCGGCATACTCAAGCGGGTTTAATTATGAAAGTGGGGGTACATGCTGGCCAACCACCCTTAGAAGTACATCAGGGCAGAGGCTTTAGCTGGACTTGCCTTCGAAAAGTAGTGCCGATTGATCTTGAGCTTTCAGCATCACTTAATTAAGGGTTGGGTGGCAGAAAATGTTGGTGGATAGTGTTTAGCCACAAGACATTAACTTATAGGAGTTAACTCTAAAAGGGGTGTAGTTATGGAACAGTTCAGTATGTATCTGAAGTATAAACCGCTGACCTTAAGTTGCTGTATCTTGCTGGATTCCTATATATATTGTCTGGTTCCACCCAGGCAAATGTCATTTTGGTTGAGATCAAAGCTTTAGAAAATATCACCTCTCTCCATGCTAAGATAGCTGTGAAATGTTTTGCATGACATTGCCATGTTACTTATGGTCTTTGAGGAGCATATTGCTGATCAAAACAATCTTAAGTTTCACCCTGTGAATTGTATTTCAGTTCTCCTATTCGAGTAACTTAACATTACTCCTTTCTAGACATGCTCTGGCACATTTTTCCGACTAGTATTTATTTTCGTCCAAATTCGAACTAATCTCTGCGGAGACCTTTTCCTCATTTGACGGTGTAGCTTATCGCCTTGCAGTCATTGACTACAATGTGCATGAAGTCAAAATGTACTAGCACTCCCATTGATCATGCCACTGCTCCTGAGCATACAGAAGATGAAGTTCCCGAGCCAACCGCTGTGGTGACTGCTAGTGAAGAGATAAATATAGACCAGGAAGTTGCTCCGCCACATAAGAGTGCTATAATACATGATTTCTGCCTAGGGATCCCTTTTGGTAATGATACCAACTTCCTTTTTAGCCAAGTTTGATGTGATTTGCATTTTTTTTAATAAAGTGATTTGCAGCTCAGATGACAAGTTAGTCTACTTGAGTGTTGTAACTCGGTTATTTTGGTTAGCCCTTCCAAGCACTCAGTAGAATGGCTCGAACTGTTGTAACATACTAATATATCATGTTTTGTGAAAGCTGCTAAATTCTCTTGTGTTATGTTATCCTCATCTGACACCTCACTGGACTGATCTTTGCGCATCTGGATTTGCTTGAGTACTGATGACAATTTCCCTATTTCAGGTGGATTATTATTTTCCATGGGCCTTGTTGGATTTCTATTTTGGAGGAGTCCTGTAAGTCTTACTTTTGGCGTTGCACCTGGTCTTGCTATATTGGGACTTGCCGTGCTTAGTCTTAAGGGTTGGAGGAGTGGAAAGTCCAGCTTGCCATTTATACTGGCACAAGCAGGTATTTTGATTCCCTTACCTACATCCCAATAACCTCGGATTAACAATGACATGCATGTCTGAACAGTCAATATCGGTATTTATATAAATATTTGATCCTGGACCCTAGTAATCTACCACTATACCAAATAGAAGTGCCACATTGTGGGGAAAGCCCCCGCGGTAATTAACCTCCTCTGTTCATTATTTGTAGCTGTTGCTGCTGCTGTAGCATGGAAGCACTGCCAGGCGTATGCCACAGTAAGTGACACTGCCACTTTGCTGTAAAAATTTGGCGAGTCCGAATCTTATTCTGATCAATTGACTCTGTTTGCACAGACAAAGAAGCTGCTTCCCTGGGGCTTTTATACTGCGCTCAGGTAGTTCTCGATTGTCTCTTTATCGTGTTTCAGCTGCTCATTGCACACTACTGTCCTCCTTACAACTTCCCTTGTCGCCAGTGTCTTGATGATCTGCTTCTACTCGTACGTGTTGCTTGCCGGGGGGAATCCACCACCAAAGAAGAAGCCAGCAGCTGCTATATAAGTTGAGCCTTTAACTCCTATTGTTGTTGAAGTTGTGCTCTGGTAAATGTTACTGATGATAGGGGTTGCGTTTTATTACTTTTAATTGTAGAACACTGAAAAATAATAAAGTTGTGTTCTTGCGTACAGTTTATTTGGGTATCTTTGTTACTTAATGGAAGAGTCAGAGAAGATACGATTTGCTCTGGTTCTACATGAACTTTTGTTCCTGAACATTGCGCTTATACCTTAATAAAATGTAGCTTTGTTGATCCTGAAAAGATATTGATCAGATTGTGTGTGCATAAGCTGTTTGGTTAGCGATCGCTGTGAACCAAACAATTTTTTTGTTTACTTACAACATTTGGTAGTACTACACATAAGATCAATGTAGCAGCCAACATTTGGCCTAAGTTCCAGTAGGAAGGTCTGGTTGTTCCAAACAATTTTGCTAGCGCGAGTGCTGACAATGTTGGAGGTTATAAGGGCCTCAAACCAAACAACTATATTCATTTGATTAATTTTTTGATATGTTTTGAGATAACTTACCACTCGTGCCCTGCAGCTACTCATTTGATTATTTGAGAGGGAATGTTACTCAACAAATCCTGTCCCAACATTGCAAAAATGCTATTACCTCCATCCGGAAATAAGTGACGTTGTTTTAGTTCAAATTAGTTCAATTTTGAACTAAAACAGTGCTCATATTTGAACTAAAACAGCTTCACTTATTTTCAAATTTGAACTAAAATAGTGTCACTTATTTCCGAACGGAGGGACTAGAATCTTGCTCCAGTAAGGGTACACCTACAATCTAAGCACACCTATTCGTTGATTGAGATCTTCTTTTTTTCTTCTGAAATTTCGTTCATCAAGATCTTGATTTTAGCTCGCGTAGTCATTGGCTAGATTTCTTTTCCAAAAGTAATTTTAGCAAGGGAAGTTTCTTTAACAACTATGATAAGAAGAATTAGTCTGATGCGGATCAAGTAAAGGAAGACGATCCCGACCAATTGTTTCTTCTTGAGTTGTTGGTATTGAATCCACTTTCTTTTCTTCCATGGTAGCCAACCCTGGCCTTTAATTCAACGATTCTATAGCTGGAAGCGCGGTATTGTTCTAGTTTCTGCTTGTGAGCTGAAATGCTCCTTCATGAACAATAAAATGAAAAAATAGTAGAAGATGTTAAAATTCTGAATTATTTTGGCAACGAACATTGATAAATTGTCTACATATGTATTCTTTTGTGAAGAAAAAAAAATCCTAAATGCTCTAAGTAAAACAAACCGATGCTCCAATATATATATTTTCGAAAGCATTTTGGAGCATTTTTTTGTTTCCCTGAACATTAGGGATGTTTTCTATTCACAAAAAATTGCAGGTACATAGACAGTTCGTCAATGTTTTTTGAAAAAAAAAACAGTTTTCCAAATTTTTGTTTACTATATATTTCTGATTTTATTGTTCATCATGGGTGCATTTGAACTAACAAGCAAACAGAGCGAACGAACACTTTCAGACAATATTGATCTTTCTTATGGTAGTTCAAATTACTAAACGAAGTTCTCGCAAATGTAGAAAGGTGTAGGATGCAACTCATTGTATTCCATGGGGTAGGTTACAATATATACACAGGATGTCTTGCGTGACAAGGAAACTAATCCTACCTTTTCTCTAGAAGTCAGCTATACAAGGCTAGAGAAGATAGGAATAGCAATACAAGATATGTCACTTTCAACACCCCCCGCAGTTGAAGCGTCGGCGTCGGCGATGCAAAGACGACGCCGACGCAAACACTGGAACGAAACTCCTGAAATGCGGCGGTCGGAAGCCCCTTGGTCATAATGTCGGCAAACTGTTGGATGGTCGGTACATGAAGAACACGAAGCTAACCCAACTATACCTTCTCGCGGACGAAGGGAACATCAAGTTCAATATGCTTGGTGCGCTTGTGCTGCACTGGGTTGGCCGCGAGGTAGGTGGCCGAAACATTATCACAAAAAACCACTGTAGCTTTCGGGATTGGAAACCGAAGTTCACCAAGTAGCTGATGGAGCCAACATGTCTCGGCAACAACATTGGCGACGACACGGTACTCGGCCTCAGCACTCGAGCGGGAGACGATGGGCTGCCACTTGGAGGACCAAGAGATGAGAGAGTCACCGAAGAAGACACAATATCCGGACATGGAGCGTCGAGTGTCAGGTATACCTGGCCATGGGAAGCCCGGCCCGACCTGACCCGGCCCGACCCAACGCTGCTCCTGGGCCGGGCTCGGGCCTAGATTTTGAGCCCGATGGCCGGGCCGGGCCGGGCCCGGGCCTGTCGTTTTTGCACTTTTCTGAAGGTCGGGCCGGGCCGGGCCGGAGCCCGGCGGGCTTTTACGTGTTCGGGCCAGGCTCGGGCTCAGAAAACAGGCCCGATGGCCGGGCCGGGCCAGGCCCGGGCGTGGGTTTTTTGCGTCGGGCTTGGCTAGGCCCGGCCCGGCCCGAGGTATGGCAAGGTATAGTGTCAGGACAACCGGCCCAATCTGCATCAGTGTAAGCAAGCATCTCGGTGGAGACGGAGGCGCGAAGACGAAGTCCAAAGGTCGGTGTGCCACGAATATGTTGGGAAACGTAGTAATTTCAAAATTTTCCTACGCACAGGCAAGATCATGGTGATGCATAGCAACGAGACGGGAGAGTGTTGTCTACGTACCCTCGTAGACCGGAAGCGGAAGCGTTAGCACAACGCGGTTGATGTAGTCGTACGTCTTCACGGCCCGACCGATCAAGCACCGAAACTACGGCACCTCCGAGTTCTAGCACACATTCAGCTCGATGACGATCCCCGGACTCCGATCCAGCAAAGTGTCGGGGAAGAGTTCCGTCAGCACGACAGCGTGGTGACGATCTTGATGTTCTACCGTCGTAGGGCTTCGCCTAGGCACTGCTACAATATTATCGAGGATTATGGTGGAGGGGGGCACCGCACACGGCTAAGAGAACGATCACGAAGATCAACTTGTGTGTCTAGAGGTGCCCCCTGCCCCTGTATATAAAGGAGCAAGGGGGAGAGACCCGCCGGCCCTTGAGGCGCGCCAAGGAGGGGGGAGTCCTCCTCCTAGTAGGAGTAGGACTCCCCTTTCCTAGTCCAACTAGGAAGAGAGAAGGGGGAAGGAAAGATAGGGAGAGGGAGAGGGAAAGAGGGGCCGCGGCCCCCTCCCCTAGTCCAATTAGGACTCCCTATGGGAGGGGGCGCGCCACCTCCTGGGCTGCTGCCCTCTCTCTCCCCTCAGGCCCACTAAGGCCTAATACTTCCCCGGGGGGTTCCGGTAACCCTTCCGGCACTCCGGTTTTCTCCGAAATCACCCGAAACACTTCCGGTGTCCGAATATAGCCGTCCAATATATCGGTCTTTATGTCTCAACCATTTCGAGACTCCTCGTCATGTCCGTGATCATATCCGAGACTCCGAACAACCTTCGGTACATCAAAATATATAAACTCATAATGAAACTGTCATCGTAACGTTAAGCGTGCGGACCCTACGGGTTTGAGAACAATGTAGACATGACCGAGACACATCTCCGGTCAATAACCAATAGAGGAACCTGGATGCTCATATTGGCTCCTACATATTCTACAAAGATCTTTTATCGGTTAGACCTCATAATAACATATGTTGTTCTCTTTGTCATCGGTATGTTACTTGCCCGAGATTTGATCGTCGGTATATTAATACCTAGTTCAATCTCGTTATCGGCAAGTCTCTTTACTCGTTCCGTAATACATCATCCCGCAGCTAACTTATTACTTGCAATGCTTGCAAGGCTTATGTGATGTGCATTACCGAGAGGGCCCAGAGATACCTCTCCGACATTCGAAGTGACAAATCCTAATCTCGAAATACGCCAACCCAACAAGTACCTTCGGAGACACCTATAGAGCACCTTTATAATCACCCAGTTACGTTGTGACGTTTGGTAGCACAACAAAGTGTTCCTCTGGTAAACGGGAGTTGCATAATCTCATAATCATAGGAACATGTATAAGTCATGAAGAAAGCAATAGCAACAAACTAAACGATCAAGTGCTAAGCTAACGAAATGGGTCAAGTCAATCACATCATTCTCCTAATGATGTGATCCCGTTAATCAAATGACAACTCATGTCTATGGCTAGGAAACTTAACCATCTTCGATCAACGAGCTAGTCAAGTAGAGGCATACTAGCGATACTATGTTTGTCTATGTATTCACACATGTATTATGTTTCCGGTTAATACAATTCTAGTATGAATAATAAACATTTATCATGATATAAGGAAATAAATAATAACTTTATTATTGCCTCTAGGGCATATTTCCTTCAGTCTCCCACTTGCACTAGAGTCAATAATATAGATTACACACTAATGATTCTAACACCCATGGAGCCTTGATGTTGATCATGTTTTGCTCGTGGAAGAGGCTTAGTCAGCGGGTCTGCAACATTCAGATCCGTATGTATCTTGCAAATTTCTGTGTCTCCCACTTGGACTAAATCCCGAATGGAATTGAAGCATCTCTTGATGTGCTTGGTTCTCTTGTGAAATCTAGATTCCTTTGCCAAGGCAATTGCACCATATTGTCACAAAAGATTTTCATTGGACCCGATGCACTAGGTATGACACCTAGATCGGATATGAACTCCTTCATCCAGACTCCTTCATTTGCTGCTTCTAAAGCAGCTATGTACTCTGCTTCACATGTAGATCCCGCCACGATGCTTTGTTTTGAACTGCACCAACTGACAGCTCCTCTGTTTAGTAAGAATACGTATCCGGTTTGCGATTTAGAATCGTCCGGATCAGTGTCAAAGCTTGCATCAACGTAACCATTTACGATGAGCTCTTTGTCACCTTCATATACGAGAAACATATCCTTAGTCCTTTTCAGGTATTTCAGGATGTTCTTGACTGCTGTCCAGTGATCCACTCCTGGATTACTTTGGTACCTCCCTACTAGACTTATAGCAAGGCACACATCAGGTCTGGTAC